TTTCTTTGCTTATTTCAATCAGATTCCATTCAGATTTATCAAAAAAAAAAAAAATTATTCAACCAAATGATTTTATAATCAATCAGGATGTGCGTCAATCATATTATCTCTATTGTTTTTTTGTTTTGTTTTGATTTCTATAATAAAAAGTTTGATTGATTGATTGATTGATTATTGATGATGGAAACGGATGATGATGATGATGAATGATTCAATGTGCTGAAATATGAGAATGGGGGGAGAGAAAGAGAGATTTCAAATGAACAAACAGATAACAAAAAAAAAAAAAAAAAAATTTGGTCAAATGATGCCAATCAAATTTGTCGTCGTAATTTCGTTTTTCAAAAGAAAAATGGAAAAAAAAATTGATTGATAATTCAAGATAATAATAATATTCGAATGTTGACAAGATAAAATGATAGATCATATAGTTTGTTTATATAGTTCAGTGTGTAGTCTGGGGTGGGTGTGTTTTCAAGTTGTTTTTGTTGTTGTTGTTGTTATGCATTCATTCGAAGTAACGAAAATCTTCTTCTTTTTTGGAATGAATTTTTTGGGTATAAAAAGAAATGATTATGGATTCGTTTCGGATCATCAATTTATTAATTAATTCAATTTGTTTTTAATCAAATTATACTTCAATCGATAAACTCTTTTTTTTTCTTCTTCTTCTTTTTATTTTCTTGTTGTTGTTCGACTATAAATTCGATAATTTTCTTTTTTGTTAATTTCAAATATTTACCGCGCTAAAATTTTCAAAACAAAACAAAAAAAATGTCGCCAATTTCAATTGCTCAAAATAATGATGCCATCTATGGTCAACAAACAAAATCATTAAAATCATTTGATGAATTATTACAAAAAATTCAAAAATTGTTTGAATCAAATGAAATTGATGTTGATCAATTAAAACAATTAATGCAATCATATGAAAGTAATCCAGCTGATTGGATTAAATATGTAAATCTTTCAAAAGAACGTTATACACGTGTATTAATTGATGGTGGTAATGGAAAATATAATCTTATGTTATTATGTTGGCCAGCTAATACTGGTTCATCAATACATGATCATCCGGATTCTCATTGTATTCTTAAGGTTTGTTGTTTGATTAGTTTTTGGTGATTTTTTTTTGATTCATTGGTTTTTTTTCGGTTTTTTAGGTTCTTGCTGGAACTGTATCCGAAGTACGTTATTGTTGGCCAAAAGATAGCTATAAAGATGATCATTGTGATGGTGGTATTGGTGGAAATGATGATCATCAGAATGGTGAAGAAGGTATGATTATTGCTGATGAAAATCGTTTGCAAACACAAAATGTTGCCTATATTAATGATTCGATTGGTTTGCATCGTGTTATGAATCCTGATCCAACAATGCCAGCATTTTCTTTACATTTATATAGTCCACCATTTGATTATTGTCGAATATTTGATGAAAAAACTGGTAAATATCAAACAATTAATGTTGGTTTTGATCCAAAAGAAATTGAAGCTGTAAAATATCGTGTTAAACGTCGTACTGCTGCTGCTAATAATAGTAACTGTGATATAAATCATCATCATCATCATAATCATCCACATCAAAATTCATTTGGTAGTAAAGATGTTTTGGTATTCGAAATGGATCATAATCCAAAACATCGTCAACAACAACAGGATGGTAAAACACGTTCCTAAATCCATCATATTCATCATTATAAATAATGCATAATATTTTTTTGTTTTTGATTGAATTTGGACTTTATTTTTTGTTTCTTCTTTGGCAATATATTCGTTATAAGTTTTTCTTCTGCTTTCTTTCTTCATGTTAATCAAATATATCCAGTATAATTTAAAGTTTTTCTTTTCTTCTTTTTTTCGTTATAATAATAATAAAAACCCTTATATATTGATAATGTTACAAACAAACAGACAAAAAAAATGAATATCGTTTAGATGAACGAAATAATCGATTATCAATCAATTATTGATGGTTTTTTTTTATCGAAAAAAAATTGTTTTCAATTTTGGGTACAATAAGAATATACGAGATTTTTGTTTTGTTCAAATTTAATTTAATTTATTTTTTCATTTTTTAAAATAGAAATTATAAAAAAATATTTTTATCAGAAATTATTATTTGTCTGCACGTTCATAAACACGTAAACATTCAACACCATTACAAGTGGATGTCTATAAGAAGGAAATGAATCGAAAATCAAAATTAGATATTTTGGTACAGAATTTAATCGTTTTTGATCAACTTACCACATTGATTTTATTATCAACAAATTCACGAACATATTTAATTTCAAGATTATCATCCCATTGCATTTGAATAAATTTGTTTGGTGGTTCAAATGTTACTTTTGATTTACAAACTTTACCATCAACACGTGTTTCTTGAAAAAATTCACCCAATTTAAAACGATTTACAACATTTTTTATTGGTGTTTTAACTTTAATTGTTGTCCAACCATCTTCTTCTTTGATCAATTCTAAATCTGGACTTGCTAAATTGGCTGCTTTACGTTGCATAAAACCAACTCCTAATTTAATTTTAAAAATTGAAAATTGAAATTCAATCAAAGCGAAAAAAAACTTTTTGATCAAAATAATCTTACCGATTTCTTTAAGAAAAGCATCAAAATTATCACTGGAAATGAGCTTGAATTTTCCAAAAAATCGTTCATCATTTGGTATAACTTGAGCCATGTTGGGTGGATGGATGGATTTTTTTTCCAAAATTGATCAAAAATAAAATTGTTGTAAACTCGACTAGATCCAATGAATGAATGGTAACAGATATTTTGGCTATTTATTTTATTTTATAATCAAATTTATATATGGATTCCTAGAATGCCAAAAAAAAAATCGATTAAATCGAAATCAAAAATTTTTGATTGGTTTTCTGGTTTTCTGCCTACATTATTTCAACAAGTGTTAATATATTTTTTTTTTCCAAATAGATAATGGTAGTAATGTAATGTGTCTGTGTTTGGTTTGTGATTAGTTAGTTAGTGTATTTCTAGTGTGTTTGGTTGGTTTGTAGATATGGATGTTTAATCAATTAATCTAATTGAATGGTTGTTGATTGATTGATTGATTGAGTACAAACAATTCTCGATCAAAATCATCATCATCATCATTAGTTAGTTATCGGTAATAATTTTTTTTAAGGGTAACCATGAACAACCACGAGATATATACATGAAATCGTGTGTGTTTCGAGATTTTTCCTTTGATTATTATCTGTTTTTGATGACATATTTATTTTGCTTATAATCGCTAAATCAAACAACACGCAATCCTTGTACTTATCCAAAGAAATATAAGCAAAAAAGAAAAAAGATAAATTTCCAAAAGACAAGATTACCAAAAGACAAAGAAACGAGAAAAACACTTAAAACATTTGTTGATTTTCGGATCGGATGATTATGGTTAATCGTCGTTTTCAATGATCAAATCAAACTGATTTCGCTGTTTTTTTTTCGAATTGATTAAGAAATTTATTCATAATAAGGATTTTTTTTCCTGGGAAAAATTTAATAATTAAATTGTAAAATGAAAAAAAAATTCAATAAAATAATCATAATAACATTGTGTTTTTTGGAAATAAATATTTTTCTTTTCTTCTTGATTGATAAAATTAATTTAATTAATGAAAAATGAAATATTTAGGTAAATGTGTAAGTAAAAGTAATGAGTGGTTAATTTTGTCACTTTGGTTGGAATTCCAATACTTTGATTCGGGATGATTTTCAAATGATTCAAATTTAGATTGATTTATTCGACACGTGTATAAACACGAAAACTTTGAATATTATTACAAATTGATTTCTGAAAAAAAAGATTTGAAAATTACAAAAATTAGATTTTGAAAAGAAAAACAAACGAAACAAAAAAACATACCACATTGATTTTATTATCAACAAATTCACGAATATATTTAATTTCCAATCCATTATCCCATTGCATTTGTATGAATTTGTTTGGTGGAATAAATTCCACTATTGACTATTTATATTATAGAAAAAAAATATGGTTCAAAATCAAACATTTTCAAATTCAGTTTAATTTAATTTACCTTACAAACTTTACCATCCATACGTGTTTCATTAAAATATTCATTTATCCTAAAACGATTAACTAATGTTTTATGTGGTGCTTCAACTTTCATTGCAATATAACCATTTGGTTCTTTGACAATTTCTAAATGTGGCCTAGTTAGATTGGCTAATTTTCTGGCAAGAAAACCAACGCCTGGAAAACAAAAACAAAAAGAATGTTATTTTCTTCAATATTTTTTTTGCAAAATATTTACCAATTTCACGTAAAAATGCATCAAAATTGTCACTTGTTGTTAAACGATAACGGCCATAAAATTTATCCGGAACAACATGTTGTTCAAAATTTTGTTGTTGTTGTTCATCATTTTTTGATTGTTGTTGTTGTTGATTTGAATCATTTGATTCAGTAATTGTAACCATTCTTCGTTTCCAATTTTCAATATCGATTAGATTGGAAAACCACATTTGTAATGGAAGCGATGAATCAAAAAAACAATCGAAAACAGAAAAACCAACAATCGAAAAAAACCAAAATGAAGAATTTTCTTTCCCAAAAAAATAAATGAAGAATTTTGATGGAAAACAACAACCACTTGTTGCTCAATTCATAAGGCTAAATAAGAAAGATAAACAAAAAAAAATTTCAGATTGAATCTTGCATAAACAAACAAACAAACAAAAGGTGACTCACACTATTGATGTTGTTTGACAATATTAATAACAGTTGTTAGCGAAAAGATTTGAATAAAAATCATCATCATCATAAATCAATGACGAAGACAAATCAATGACAATCAATCAATCAATCACAATTACACATTCAAAAGCAATAATAATTTTTTTGAGAGAGATTTTTTCTTTTCCTTTCCTCTCTTCGACGATATTATTGAAGCGATGATTCAGTTTTTCAGCGTATTTTTTTTTTCTTCTTCTTTCGTAATTTATTGACGTTTGTTGTTGTTTTCGTATGTTCGTTGTTTATTTGTTTGTTTGTTTATTTGGATTTTTTTTAAATTTAGAAAGAAGAAGAAGGCAAAAAATTTCCAAGAAAACATAAGTAAATATGTTTTTCATTCATTTGCTACATAGCATCTTATTTAATCAATCAGATTGAATTAATTACATCGATTGAAAACATAGAATGTTGTTAATGTTGAAAAAGAAGCCAAAACCTATTCCCCGCTCACCAACCAAATAACAACAACAGAAACAAAAACAAAACAAAAAAGCCACTATGTCCAAAAAAATGTACATTTGATGGCCAACGAATATATGCATACAAACAAACAAAATCACAGCTATAGAGAAAATCAAACAACAAACCTCGAAAACCTTATTTTCAAGGAAAAACTAAAAACAAAAAACAAGTTCAACAACAAAACCAAAACCAGAGAACAAGAGAGAGATAGAGGCGAATATCAACCGTTCGATTTGATTTGTTCGAAACTTTGTTGCTAATTTTTTGTTTTCAATTGAACACAGAACATTCAAGAGAAACTGTACATATAATGATGATAATCAGGAGATAACTAACGTAATAACTAAGCAAGCAAAACATCTTAATTGAATTTAAAAATTTTTTTCTTTAATTTATTCCGTTTGTTTGAAATATTTGAATTTTTTTTTGTTTTTGTTTTCCCCACTTTCAAATAATCAAGTCTTTTTCCCCGTTTATTTTCAAAGAATTTTTTTTTCATTTTCCATTGCTGATAAGCAATTATATTACTTATCAATCAATCAATCAAAAGAGTCTACCTGTTGCTTGATAAGGTAACGAAAAAAAATGAAAAAAATGAAAAATTCTACGTGGCGCAGACATCCTGATGATAATGATGCTGATGGTGATGGTGGTGATGATAGTGTGTGTGTGATAACAAGCGTTTATCATCATTGATTTTTGCTTTTTCCTTGTATTTTTTAGCGATTAACGTTTCTGATTTTCTGATTTTCAATTTTACTAATCAATTAAATTATGTTGGACTCATTTCAGGTACCGATTTGTATCGATTTTCTATTGATTGATTGATTAGATCAAACAAAGATTTGATTTTTTCTTTCTCATTCTTGAAATAGATAGAAAAAGTTTTCATTGCGATAAGAGAAATTAACACAGTAAAGAGCGACGAAAGAGAGAACCCTTTTGATCAATTAGGATATTTTTGATTTTTTATCAATCAAACACTGTAACCACAAGAAGAATTAAAGAAAACTTTCCGATTGATTTATTGATTGATTGATTTAGAGACAAGGTCATCGAGTACTTTTCATGATTACAGCATGAAAATCAAATTGCAAATCAAAAATTTCGATGACAAAATTGGATAAAAATTTTCAATTTTTAATTGAATTATTTTTTTTTTTGGAAAAATTCATTAATAAAAAACAAGAAAAAAGAAAATTACAGGGAAAATCTTTTTAAAAAAAACATTGTCGTTGGCAATAGTGGTGATGATGATCAATAAAGAAAGATTATTTGCCAAAAAAACCACGAAACGAACTATATGCACCATTATGTATTGATAAACGATTCATTTCATTTTTAAGTATTTGACCTTTTTGTTTTTCCAATTCATCACGTGTACGTTCTAATTGTCTAATCCAATTGGATAATGTATCACAACAATCACGTACTTGATTAAATATTTTCGTTTTCATACAATCCGGATCAATAGTTTGTTCACGTTGAATTTGTTGTAATAATTTTCTGGCTTTTGGTAATATTTCATCAAACCATTCAAATGATCCTTCTGGTTGTATCATACGTAATGAATCGGCTTGTGCCATCAATTCGATTAGATTATTTTCGGGCATTGTTGTTTTTTGGTTTTGCTTTGTTTTTGGTGTTTTTCGGTTTGGTTGTTTCTTTTTTTCAAATCAAATTCAAATTTTAACACAGGTAAACTGATTGGCAAACACACACACAGACACACAGAAACAAGCAAAACGATTGATTCAAATTGAAACAAAAAAATTTCAATTTCCTTCATGTTTTTATACCAATTTCAAGAAAGAAAAAAATCTTCTTTGAAAACCAAAAATAATTTCAAAAAAATAAAACCTGAATCTCTTCATATCGATCCAGAAACAAGTATATTTCCAAAAAAGAAAATCGATTTAATAATGATTAAAACTGGTTCGAAAATTTTTCATCGTAATTAACACCACAAACACACATAAGATGATGTCAACAACCGCTCGTTTGACATATAGCCAGAAAAAAAATAACTGTTGACAAACAACAACAACAACAACAAAAAACGATGGATTATTGTACACAGGAAACTCTATGTGTGTGTGTGTGTATTTCCATTGAAATCATCCAATAAATAATTTATCTGATCATTCAATTCTGATTCGAAATTGTATCGAATAATTTGACCAATGGTGATCTTTATGTTGTTGTTTGATTTTGTTTTTTTTGTTTTTTTTTTGTTGATCATTTTGATATGACGATTTCAGTATTTCATCATAGATGATGTTGACAAAAATAAAAATAAAAATTTTCTTAGAAACAAATTAGTTTCCTGTATTTGTATAAATGATCTGTACAAATATAGATTAGAAAAATGGCCCGAAGGCGGAAGTAAAACTGTTGATAAATGGAACATCTCTTATCGATGATGATGATGATGATAAGGAATAAATAGAATGAAAAGAAAGTTAAAAAAGTAAAAATTTTTATTTCAAAATTTTATTTATTTTTTTTTTTGAAAGAAAATCAATGATTTGTGATTACAAAATCAATAAATTTTGTTTGATTTAATCGCGGATTTTAGCATGAGTAGCAATAGCACAGGCCAAAACACCATTATCACCCAAAACTTTGACAGTGACGACAACATTTTCAGATTTTGGTGCAATTTTTGGAACATTCCATGTATATTTAATATCATATTGTTGTCCTTTAACCAATGGACATTTCATATAATGGCATGCATTTGGATCGATACCGGGAACATCAACTTCTAAACCATCGATTGAAGCTTTGATTTCAATTTTAGCTGTTTTTGAGTTTTGATTGGCTTCGAATAAAGCTTCCAATTGGAATGGTTTACCACGATGAATGATACATGGTTCTGAACCATGGCATCCTGGTACCAAAACTTTTTTGATTTCATGATTGGCTGTATAGTAAGAGAAAGAGAAAAAAAGACATTGTGTTTAATATATGATGTTGAATGAAAATGTTGAAAAAACAAATATTTACCACAATCTTTGACATCGACTTGATCAGCGGCAACGGCTGCGACCAACAATGAAAGACACAAAATTTTGTACATCATTTTGAATGGTTTGGTTTTGTTTTCAGAATAATGATTGTAGTAAGGAAGAAAGAAGAATTTTTGGATGATCAAACCATGATTTATGATCGGGTTTATATAGTTGAAAAAAGAAATTTTTTGCTCAATTTAGAAATAGAGAATATCCATTGTAATCTAATAATCATTCCACTTGGGTTCCCCATTATCTTGATGTCCTTCAATCTTAATTAATCAATAAACAGGTAAACAGGTAAATAGGGAAAACTTTTTTCAATCAATTGCCCACTTGATTGTTGTTTTGCTATTGTTTTCCTTCCTAATTGTGATTAAAAATAAAATTATTTTAATTAGACCAAATTTTAATCAACAATCAACTCACCATAAGTGGAGTAAAAACACTTGACATTGTCTGGGTCTTTTTGTATATTCTTGAAAATTTTCGAAAAGTTTCGAAAAAAAAATCGAAAAACAACCTTGTTTATTCATTATTCACAATATTGTTTTTTTTGAATATTTGAATTTCATCAAACTTTTTCGGTTTGAACTAATTGAAATTCTTTCCACTAGGATGTGTTGATTTTGATCAAAGAGAAAAAAATTTCAAATTCAAAATGATGAAATTAATCATGATTGAATGTAACTTTTGTACCCACGACTATATTTAATGATCGAAGTAACTGGATCCTTATTTTTTTAAAATCACATATACATTGATTACGAAAGTCTCACAAACAAAAATGATTGTTGCCATGCGTTTAAATTGCAAATTAACATTATTAGATAGATAGTTTTGCTGTATTTTACAAGGTTCACAATCATGTACTACGATAATTCATTTTGGATTGAATCGAATACGTTGACCATTTTATCATTCATAATTACAATATTCATAGGTCATTATCTATGTTTTATTGTTAAAGTTAGTATCGATTTCGAATGAATCTTAATTGTACCTGTTTTCTTGTCATGCATTTAGAAACCCAAATTAATTTGTCGTAATGTAAAATTTCGAAATTTTCTTGAAAAAAATTGTCCAATTATAACGGAAAAATATTGGCCAACAATATGGTGTTATCAATCAATGTTGATGAGTACTTTATCGACTGCATTTCGTCGTTTACGTGCACCAAACATACAATATAAAAGGTTTTTATTTTTTCGTTTACAATTAAAATTCACTTTTTTCTCCCAAAAAAAATTGATTGACCATCTGATTATTGGTATAGGGAAACTATTCCGACTCCAGATGGAGCCGTTTTACATCTTGATCATCATAATGAAAATGATGAACAAAATGATGATCAAATGATTGCATTGTTTATGCCTGGACTTACTGGATCATCATCAGCTGAATATATCCGACCATTAGTTGAAATTGCATCAACAATTGGTTATCATTCAATTGTACTTAATGCACGTGGCACTGGTAATAATCGTTTGCTAACACCACGTGTTTATTGTTGTGCAAATGATGATGATCTACGAACATGTTTAGCTCATTTACGAAAAAAATATCCAACAAATAAACTGATAGCCATTGGATTATCATTCGGTGGTATAGTATTATCAAGATATTTAAGTATGACTGGTAATGAATCGAAAATCGATTCAGCAATGCTTGTATCAGTTTGTTGGAATTTTATACCAAACAGTTATAATCTAGAACGTTGGTCTAATTTACCATTAAATCGTTATCTAACAAAATGTTTAATTGAAATTGTTGAACAAAATCAAACATTGTTTGAAAATAAACCAAACATTGATTTAAAACGTATTTATAGTTCACAAACATTAAGAGAATTTGATGATGAATTTACAAGTAAACAATTTGGATTTAAAAATGCATACGAATATTATCGTGAAAGTAGTAATAATGAACGTATTCATCAAATTAAAAGGCCAACATTATGTTTGAATGCATTTGATGATATGTTTTCGCTTGGATCAAGTAAAATACCGATACTTTTGTTATTCGATTTTATCGTTAATAATTTTGTCTTTTTTTTCATTTTTTTTCTATAGCACTACCATGTGATAAAATTGAAAATGAAAGCACTCATGTTGCAATGTTAATCACTAAACGTGGTGGTCATATTGGTTTTATGGATGGTTTATGGCCATTATCAAAAACATCACGACCATATTATTTGGAAAGATTAGCTAAACAATATTTACTTGCATTCTATCATCAAATGGATAAAAGTTTTCTTTTAGAAAATTTCTAACAAACAAAAAAACATAGATTGTTCAATTGCTAATTTGAAAATGTTTAAGTTTTTATTATGAATTTTAAAACTTTTAACAAAGAGATTTTATTCAGAAAAGAGATTATTTCCAAAATTGATTTTTAAAATTTCATTTCTCGCGCGCTTTGAATATAATGAGAAATTCGAATCACTATTTCTACCTGATATTGCATGGTTGAGTAGAAAGTTTTTGGAATTTTTTTTCCGAGAATCTCTTTGTCAGCTGTCTTTCGGTATCTGATATTCAAATATCTGATACAGAAAAATGGATCAAACGAACATCATTTTAATATTGGCTTTGATGATGCCGTGTATGATTTCTAGTCAACAACAACAACAAAATCATGATAAAATGGTCAATGATTTTTTCAACCAAAATCCTGATAATGATGATCCAAATCAATCAAAACATACAAATAATTGGGCAGTGATTGTCGGTGCATCAAGATTTTGGTTCAATTATCGTCATGTTGCAAATGCATTATCAATTTATCGTAGCTGTAAACGATTTGGCATTCCAGATTCACAAATTATTTTAATGATTTCGGATGATATGGCTTGTGAATCTCGTAATCCAAGACCGGCAACAATATTCAATAATGGTCAACATCATATCAATGTTTATGGTGATGATGTTGAAGTTGATTATCGTGGTTATGATGTTACTGTTGAAAATTTAATTCGTTTATTAACCGGTCGTGTTCATGAACATACACCAAAATCAAAACGTTTGCTTACAAATTCTGGTTCGAATATTTTGATCTATATGACAGGACATGGTGGTGATGGTTTTCTTAAATTTCAAGATTCCGAAGAATTAACATCAGTAGAATTGGCCAATGCATTCGAACAAATGTATCAGAAAAGACGTTATAATGAAATTCTATTCATTATTGATACATGTCAAGCAGAATCAATGTCAGCAAAATTTTATTCACCAAATATTATCGGTATTGGTAGTTCAAAAATTGGTGAAGATTCTCTATCACATCATGGTGATTCATCAATCGGTGTCTATGTTATTGATCGTTATACATATTATGTACTTGAATTTTTAGAAAAACAATATCAACCATCAAATACAAACATAACAATATCAAAATTTTTAAAAGTTTGTCCAAAACATCTTTGTATATCGACAGTCACTGCCCGTTTAGATCTTTATAGTCGTGATCCATCCAAAGTACCATTAAGAGATTTTTTCGGCAATGTTGCCAATATTAATATGATTAATATGATTGATCTCGAATCATCATCATTAAAATAAACAATTCAAAATTTTGTAAAATAAAAAAAATAATAAAATTTTTTAATCATATTTTTTCAACAAAAACAACAAAAAACAAATTGTAAATATGATTTTCACATTCATTTAATTTTTTTTTTTCAATTTAATTAATTAATCTCCGATCGAAACCATGGATCATTAACAATGTCATCGAATCTGATACGTTTGTTTGGATCAACATTAAGCAAATCCATAAACCATTTTTTTGCTTCTGGTTTTAATGCACCGGAAGAATTGATTCGATGATGAATTTCCTGTTCAACAGTTGGAATATCATTTGCTTTATACAAATCGAATGGATATAATCGGGCAATTATGTAGAAAAATGTTGCACCAAATGACCAAACATCAGCCGATATTGGATCGAATGCTCCGCCATCATCTTTGGAAAAACTTTCCGGTGCTTGAAAATTTGCAAATTTAATTTCACTCCAAGGAGATTTTTTAACAGTAACAACCGATCCGGTTTCACGATTCCAATAAATAATTGAATCACGAAAACTGCCCAATTTAGCAATCATTGTACCGCTCAATGGATTTGTTTTAAGCATAATATGTTTTGGTCGTATACTACGATGAGCAACACCAATACTGCCCAAAAAATCCATTGCTTCCCATATTGAAAATGCCCATTTAATAGCCTGTGTTGGTTCGACAAATGTACCGGCTTTTAAATATTCAAGAACATTACCACGATTTGCTAGTTCTTGAAACAAATATATTCGTCTAGTTTGATCATAGAAAATATCATATGTTCCAACAATATTTTGTGATTTACGACCTTTATTTTTTTTTAAAAAATGAAAATATAAATATTTTTGTAATTAGTTTTCATTTAGACAAACTAGTTTAAATAATTTACCGATAAAACGTAAAATTTTCAAAAATACATCATTTAATGGATCAATATTAGCATTTGTTTGAAACATTCGACAAATCAATGTAGAATCTGGTTCCTGATGATTATGACAGGCAAATATTTGTGAATAAATACCCGAAAATAGAACCTGTTCTTTACGGATAATATAATTAAGAAAATTATTATCACCTTTCAATGTTTCAGCTGCCGATATACTCTGTTCGATTTGTTTGCATTTTTCATTCAATTCTTCTGCGCTTGGTGATTTTGGATTATTTGGTTGATAGTATGGCATATCGTTTTTTGTTTGCTGGTGGTATTCAAAGTAAGAAAAAAAAGTTAAAACAGCCGATAGAAAAAATAATCAAAATAAATGAATTGAAAAATTGAAAAAAATCGTTTAAATTTATTTCAAACTAAAACAAAGAAAACAATAATTTAATTTAGTTTTAAAAATGAAAATTTAGAGAAAAAATCGAATTAAGATTGGATTTTAGTTTTGTTTTTGGTAATGCAATTGTTCGATTGTAATGGCAACCATTTCCGTACTATTCGATAATTGCATTCGTTTAGAAATTTTAGCTAAACGTTCTTTCATTTGATTATCATTCAATAATTGTTCGATTAATGAATGTAATTGTTTTGGTTGACATTTGTATGCATTGATTTTGGCGCCATAACCCATTTCAGTAACACGTTGTGAATTATTATATTGATCACCAAACAATGGTGAAACAATCATTGGTTTACCAAAATATAATGATTCTAAAACAGTATTATTACCACCATGTGTAATAACTAAATCTACCTTGGGTAATATTTGCGTTTGTGGTACAAAACTTTCACCCCAAATATTTTCCGGTAATGCCATAAGTTGATCTTTACGTGGACCCAATGAAAAAATAAAACGATTCGGTGATTTGGCCAAAATTGTTATCAAACGATTCATTAGTTTAACATCTGCACAGCCCATCGATCCCATTGAAACATAAATCAATTTGCCTAATGGTTTTTGAAGAAATTCTTGCGGTATTTTAAATGATTCATCTTTTTCGGTAAAACGAATAAAATGATCAAAACTTTGCCATTTCTGGGGTAATGGTCGAATATCAAGATAATCCATTTCTTTTGGATATGCATAGATATTTAGATATGGTGATTCATGATGAATACCATGCATTGATGGTTCCAAGCCAAATTCTTCGGTCATTCGTTTATTAAAATGAGTCACAAGATCCATTATTTTTTCTAAAAATACTTCCATATATTCTTCCCATTGTTTACGATCACCATTGGTTGGAAAATCTATTTCAAATGTAAATTTACATTGATTAATCATTGAACAAAAATTTTAATGATCACAAAAAATATACCTGTTCCATTTGGTGGTAAATCATCGCTTGGAAGACATGATAATGGATGAGCACTTGTCAACCATACCCATGGAATACCGGATTTATAAACAGCCGGTATAGTTGTATAACTATCAACTACAATAACATCTGGCTTGGCTTGATCCAATACTTTTTTAATTTCATCATCAACATTCAACATTGTATCAATGAAAAGTTGTTGCAATTTTGGATCCATTTTTTTAACTGCTTCCATTGGTGATAAACCGAATGTTGATTTCATATCATCCATAAATTTAATCCAATGTTCATTAGCACCAAGTGTTGGATCACGATTTGGATCAACAAAAATTATTTCTTCAATACCAGCATAACGTTTAGCTTTACCAGCCCATGCTCTTTCCATAGCAAAAATAACACGATGACCGCGTTCCACTAATTTTTCAGCAACACCAATACAAGAATTCAAATGACCATAACCATCTAATGTAACAAATAAAACGGTTAATTGTTTCGAAGACATGATTTCGATCTGGTAAATCAAATATCAAAAATGATTCGCAATGGTTTTCAAAATTGTTTTTTAAACACCAAAAATCAATTTCGTAAAATAAAATGGCTAAATATTTTTCTAATGAGTTTTGTCTCTCTTTTTTTCTCTGGTACAGATTATCAAATTAAGCGGCATATCTCTCTTTGCTGTTGTCAAGTAAATTTGCACTTTTATCAAATAAAAATAATCATTTTTTTCTTGCTTCAAATTGATGGATAATGGATGATGATGATCATCATTTTTTTTTTTTTTGAATCAAAAAGATAAAATCAAACATCAAACAATTGATTATACATTATGTCAATCAAACAACGTTGATACTGACATACTGAAAATTGAAATGCCGCTTGATCAAATGAAAATTTTTTTGAATATTTTGTTTTTTATCAAGCTAATTTCCTGATAATGATGTACCATGTATGATTTTTTTGAACATTGAAAAAGCACAATTGTTTTTTTTCTCTCTCTCTATATGTCCAAAAACCAATCAATAATTGGTCGATTGGTCGGATTATGGAAATAATGTCATTAAAATTTTACATTTGGACACAACAATCGTTGATGAAATCAATGGAAAAAAATGGATTTTCCTATCCCCCCGCAAAAAAAAACAATTTTCCTATCTAAAAATAGCCAAATGGTAATCAATTAATTGATTGATTGATTGATAATTTTGTTTATTGGAAAAGGTCGATGAAATTGTTGTTGTTGTTTTCAAAGGAGATTATTACCCCGCAACATGTAATCAGGGTTATTTGTTTATCATCATTATCCGAATCAAAATAATTATAAAAAGTGATGTTTGAAATTGGAAAAAAATGAACATTTTTTAATCAATTTTTTTTCTAAACTTGAAAAAATTTGACAAACAACAAAGACATAATGAATCTGAATACGTTTATGATGCTTTCGTTATTCGAAAATATTCTACAACCATCGATAGCTACAGCTATCGATCATCACCACCATCATCGACAACGACGAGAAGAACATAGAAATTTAGTTTGGAGCGATGAATTTGATTCCGATCGATTAGATGATCAAAATTGGATTTATGAACAACATTGTGGACGTTTTAATCAAGAACTTGAATGTTATACAAAACATCGTGAAAAAAATGTACGAATTGAAAATGGACATTTGATGATTGAAGTTTGTGTTGAACCATATAATGGTTATAATTTTACATCTGGTCGTTTATTAACCCGGAAATCCTGGAAATATGGTCGATTTGAAATACGTGCACGAATGCCACATGGTTATCAATTATGGCCAGCAATTTGGATGTTAGCTAAACATGAAACGTATGGTGGTTGGCCAACTAATGGTGAAATTGATATTGCTGAAATTATTGGCAATACAGCTGATTTAATGTCATCAAGTATACATTATGGACCAACAGTTGAAACAATGATTTCAATGACAAGTGGTGTTAAGAATTTTTCCATCGATCTAAGTAAAGATTTTCATTTATATACATTAGATTGGAATGAAAAACATTTACAATGGTCATTGGATAATCGACCATATTATTCAGTTAATTTAGATCGTATAATGTGTTGTGATGATAAATCAATCAAATCACCATACACAAAAAAAGTACAACCATTTGATCAACCATTTTATCTGATATTGAATGTTGCAGTTGGTGGAACATTTTTCGGCCAACCACCTTATGTTACACCGGAACAGGCAAAAAAATGGCCCAAAAATACAATGGAAATTGATTATATAAGAATTTTTCAATGAATAAAAAATATTCAAATTTTATTTCATTTATCAAGTTTTTTTGTTTTGTATGTTTGCTTTGTTTTTAAAATTTTCTATTTGTTTTTTGAATTCCTAATTCGAATCTTGAATCAAATTTAATGATTTATAATATTCTTGTTGTTGTTCCATTTGAGCTAATTTTCTACGACGATTATGTTCATCAATACGTGCACGACGAATTAAATCTTCTTGTTTTCGTATACCATCCAAATCAATAGCTAAAAATATATTAACAATAAGCATTATGATTGTAATAATCAATGAAATCAAATAGAAACGTATATCGAATATTGTCATATAAATATCGATCATAATGATTAACATTGCTGTACCATTGAATGCAACAACTAATGACCAATTTCGTCGGATAACACCTGACCATCCTATTATTGATGCCAAAAATATGACGATAGCAAACAAAGTGATGTATAAAAGTTTACCACGCTGGTTTTATTTCGAAAAAAAACAATGATTACTTGATTAATTGAATTTTCTCTTTTTAAAAACAAATAAACTTACAATATTCGTTTCATCACTATCTTTTTCAGCATTTTCAGCAATATCAATCCAATGACAATAGGATAATACAGCCAATGTTATACAGGCAATAATACGTACGGGAAATAAAATATGTAACAAAGTGGATTTCATTTGGAAACGTTTTGAATGTCTTAGATCTTGTTGTTGATAATTCATAATGAATTTTTTTCTTTTCTTGGTATCAAAAAAAAATATAAGTTGATCTTTTTTTTTAATTACCTAGTTAAAGTGGCTCTTGTTTTTTTTTATCAATAAAAAGGCTGAATTCAGAATTCTTATTAAGGTTATTATTGAAGAAGCAGCAACAGCAATACAGTGGTTAACACCAAGAGACTTCGGTAAAGATTTTTTTTTATTTTAATGTTTGTTTTTTTTCTTCATCATCTTCAAATCGAATGCATATTAAAAACATTTTCGAACCGAACATGCTCAACAGAATATTCTGTATATTCACATTCGAATGTTTTTTCTTCAATTTAGCATTCATTGTTTGGCATTATGACAACAACAACAACAGGGCAATAAGAATATAAAACTTCTTCGAACTAAAAATAAACAAACTTTTTCTTCTTTCTTTGCGATTCACATAAAAGATTTATTTTTTTGGCCTGGATTCAATAGAACAACTAGGATGATAGAAAGTTATTCAAGAAAAAGAAAAAGAATTTTTTGTTGTTTAGTTTTGTTTTGAAAAAGAAAGAAAGAAAGAAAAAAACAATAACCATAATGAATCCAAATGACGTTGATTGAATAATCAAATTCAAAGAAAACGCAATGACATTGTGATTGAATAAACGGATCGATTGATCGATCGATCATATACAGAAGACGAAGAAGAAGAAGCTGGAGAGAAAAAAATGATAAATTACCATCATAATAATAAAATTTTATAAACAGAATTTATTACCCAGGAGGAACAAAATAATAATAATAAAAAAAATTATCACAAATAATCGTGTGTGGGCGTTTGTGGTTGATCATTCTGATGTAATAACCAACAGCGAAACAAAAAAAAAACAAAGACCAAAGGTGAATTGAATTGTAACATTTTTTTTTTGAAGATTTTCAAACCTATGTTAAAATAGATAGTTTTTTTTACCTGTATTGTCGTAATATCCTTTTAAAAGCGATAAACAACAAACTCATCGAAACCTTGAAATAGGATATAATCAAAATAGGATAATCTATAGTCTTGTGATTGCCAAGTTTTTTCCATAAAATCAATCGATCGATATTGAAGCGCTTGACATTAATTACCTGTTTACTTGTCTTGATTACTAGGATTATCCATATCCTTTAAATAAATGCAAAAGATTTTTGAGAAAAAAAAAGAATGATAAAATGATTTCAATTAGATAACCTAGATTCAATGTAAACAATCATCTTTCTTTCTTTCTTTCTTTCATATGCATTTTGTTTTCATCTTAATCAATAATTATTATTGATTAAGATGCACTTGAATTTTTTTTTCTTCTCTTGAAATTTCCAATCAAAAATAAATTTTAAAAAAATGATTATCTAATTATCATAGTCATCATTCCTTTTTTATAAAACAATCAAACAATTATTAAAATTTCTCATTCATTTTGGATACATGAATATTTTTTTTTTGCCAGTGATTATTACAATCAAAATAATGATGATGAAATTGTTTCAAATAACATTTGTTGTATTTATCTTTTGTCAATCAATATTGGCCGATGATCAAGCACCAATTGTTGATACAAAAAATGGAAAAATTCGTGGCTATACAACAACATTACAATATAATGATGTCAAATTATTCGTTTATGAAGGTATTCCATATGGAAAACCACCTGTTGGTGAACGAAGATTTCTTCCATCCGAACCGATTGATAAATGGGATGGTATTTATAATGCACATGGTTATCGTAATGCATGTATGCATTCAATGCTAATTGTACCGGATAATGAAATTCCTGAAACCAAACATCAATCAGAAGATTGTCTATTTTTAAGTGTATATCGTCCGGCTAAAAAAACCGATGAAAAATTACCGGTTATGTATTGGATTCATGGCGGTGGATTTGAAACTGGTACAATATTTTCTATTGCATATGATCCATCATATTTAGCTGGTGTTGGTAATGTTATTGTTGTTGCTGTTAATTATCGTTTGGCTGCATTTGGTTTCTTGTATGCTGATGATGAAGATGCACCAGGTAATGCTGGACTTTATGATCAACTTCTTGGCCTAAAATGGACACGTGATAATATTGAACAATTTGGCGGTGATCCTGATCAGATTACAATTTTTGGTGAATCAGCTGGTAGTATGAGTGTATCATCACATTTATTGTCACCATTAACCAAAGGACTATTTAAACGTGCTATAATGCAATCCGGTACAGTAAATTCATGGATGGGTTCAAATAGTAAAACGGAATCATTGAAAAAAACTAAAATGTTGGCAAATGCATTACATTGTTCAACTGATGATGTTAAACAAATGCTCAAATGTATGCGTAATGCATCGGCCGAAGCAATTGTCGAAAGTAATAAATATGGTCGAAATGTTGGTTTAGTATTAACCCCAGTTCATGATTCTGAATATATACCGAAAAATCCAATCGAAGCAGTAAAAAATGGTGAATTTCATCGTGAAATTGAACTCCTGTTTGGTGTTAATCGTAATGAAGGAACTGTTTTTGCTGCAGCAATATTTCCAAAATTACTTTCACCAACAATCAAAAATCCACAATTTACACGGATGCATGCACAAACATTGATTGAATTATTATTTGGTATTTTTAAAATTAGTGATCCAAAAGCAGTTGCTGAATTTTATCTGAAAAATGTTTCTGATTCTGATGTCGATGGATTACGGTAAATAACAACAACAACGACTATCCATTAATTACTAATCAAATTTTTTTCCCTCTCTCAAAAAATCTAGCGGTGCTGTCGGTGCAGCTTTCGGTGATTATCATCTTACTTGTCCATCAATATTTTTTGGTGAAACTTTTGCTAAACATAGTGATTCGAACAATGTATTTGGCTATCATTTAGTACATAAACCATCAATGTCAGGATTACTTGAATGTGTTGGATATATGGGTGTTTGTCATGCTGATGATTTGGTATTTTTATTTGGTTTTCCTATCGAATTACGTGGTACAGTTTATTCGGAAGAAGATTATTATCTTTCTCTTGATATGATTAATGCATGGTCAAATTTTGCACGTTATGGTCAACCAGGTAAATTTGCTGGAATGGAATGGCAACCAACATTGCCTACGAAATCATCAAATTCTAGTGCTAGAGTTTTGCAAATAGATGTACGAGGTAAACAACAAATGATTGATAATCATTTTGTTCCTGTATGTGAAAATTTCTGGCGTCAAAGAATTTTTGTCTAAAATAATTTCACATCATTGATTCTTGAATAAAATTACAAATTGTTCAATTGAAATGAATTTTAATATAAAATGAAAAAATAAAAATAAAAAACGAATGTGAAATACCATTCAAAATTTATTTCTAAACAATTTTTCAAACAAATTAATCAAACATCCTATTGGATGACGGACAATTAATGTAATATTCATTCAATTATCCTTTATTGAAAACCCTTATTCGAATGTGTGTGATTCATAGTGAAACCATTGAATTTTTTGTTTTTTTTTTTTTTTATTTTAAGGACAGAATGAATGAATGAATGACCTTAAGGACAGATTTTTCAAATTAATTAATCAAAACACAATAATCTATTCTCGTGATTAAACTAAACAAAAAAAAAATGGCTGGTATTTTTTCCAAAAAAAAAAAATCAATCATGCGGTATTACACGTTAATTAATCAAATAATATTTGCTTTGATCTTGGATTATCCATACCCAAGTCCAAAAAAAAAAAATGATTGCAAAAATAATGATTATCATCAAAGAATGTGACAATAATAAAATAAGTAAAACAATTTATAAAAGAAAAGAAAGCTAACCAATTAGATAACATAGATTCAATCTACACACAATAATCATAATTATTGATAAGATGGACTCAATTTTTTCTGGAAAAAAAGAACCCCAAAAATTTTTTTTTTTAAATGATTTTCTAATCATCATCATCATCATCGACCCAAATATATAAAACATGATCGACAATCATCAAGATTTGTCAATCATTTTGATGCATTTTAAATATTCATTGATATCAACAAATTATTATTATTATGATGATGATGAAAATGAAATTGTTTCAAATAACATTTGTTTTATTTATCTTTAGTCAATCAATATTGGCCGATGATCAAGCACCAATTGTTGATACAAAAAATGGCAAAATTCGTGGCTATACAAAAACATTACAATATAATGATACCAAATTATTCGTTTATGAAGGCATTCGATACGGAAAACCACCTGTTGGTGAACGAAGATTTCTTCCACCCGAACCGATTGATAATTGGGATGGTATTTATAATGCACATGGTTATCGAAATGCATGTATGCATTCAACTTTAATTGTACCCGATAATGAAATTCCTGAAACCAAACATCAATCAGAAGATTGTCTATTTTTAAGTGTATATCGTCCGGCTAAAAAAACCGAAGAAAAATTACCGGTTATGTATTGGATTCATGGTGGTGGATTTGAAACTGGTACAATATTTTCTATCGCATATGATCCATCATATTTATCTGCTGTTGGTAATGTCATTGTTGTTGCTGTGAATTATCGTTTGGCTGCATTTGGTTTCTTGTATGCTGATGATGAAGATGCACCAGGTAATGCTGGACTTTATGATCAACTTCTTGGCCTAAAATGGACACGTGATAATATTGAACAATTTGGCGGTGATCCTGATCAAATTACAATTTTTGGTGAATCAGCTGGCAGTTTAAGTGTATCATCACATTTATTATCACCATTAACCAAAGGACTATTTAAACGTGCTATAATGCAATCCGGT